TGGTGGTGGCGACGAACAATAACACCTTATTAAGGTCTTCCGCCCGTGGCCATGCTACAGCGTGTTTCCACACCGTCAACGGGAGCACAGCGAAATATATAGGAGCCCAAAACACCTCAAAGAAAGGGAGTGTGGATTGATTGGCACTAAACTGTTTCGGGCTTACTCTTTCTTCATTCAGCCAATTATAACCCATCTGCGACCAGAAACTCAAATATGCATCCACCGCCTATATAGTTAATGGACTGAGTCTATCAGATAGGTCATGGCATCTATTTTGTCTGAATCAGATACACTCAGTCCCAGATGTCCCTATTGAGGGGGGGGGGAGCGTTTTGGAGCGCACAGAATATTATCGTGGGCGTGAATCACAGTGACTCTTTTTTTCAGCAAACTCAACCTTAATCAGCACAGCGTAATTGGTTTTCTCCCAAGTGCAGTCTGCAAATATGACCGAAAATGTGGTCATTCAGCAGCCAGTATGTCGAGCTTAACTTGGGTTGCCGTTTTTACCAATCGACCGTCGATTTCGACTATGTCCACCATATGCTCCCCCAACAGGATGGTGTAGGGACAGTGACTTACGCGTGAATTAGTTTCAAGTGATAGTAGACTTGCGCAGCGTCTACCATACTTTCTCTTTCCTCTGCCCGGTGAAAAATGATAACTGAAGTTTCACAAGTTTTGGTCCGACCTTTTTATCGGTGGGGCATAGAAATAAAAACCTCCTATCCTCCTCCCCCCCCCTCCCCAGCAGTTCAGGTGACCTTGCGCTGGATCCCAGGAAAGGTTATGGTTTTGAGAGCTCGTATTAGGGTTACTTTCGGGACACGGCAATAGATACTCCACAACCTGTACTACTGAATGTGCTACCTTTATACCCAAGCTTATGCACTATATTTTGTGTCATCTACTTCACTAATTGCCTTTTTGCTTGACAATACTTGTCGATTACTCTTCCTAATCTGAAGAGTCTTAACATTTATCGATTTTGGTTCTATGCGGCCGACTGTAAATCTTAGCAGAACTTGTAATTCATGTTCTCTGTTTTCTCCTGAAGCTTTCGTGTGGAACAAACTGTATCCTAAACTCATTGAGGTGTCCTCATCATTGCCCGCTACTGCTGATCCCGATGACGGTGCTGGCGAGAGTCTTTCTCTGGACTACGCGGAAATGGCAGTTCTGTTGACGTCTAGTCCCATGCTCAGGTAGGTTGTACGCCCCATTCCATCAATACAAGACAAAATCCGATTTTTTAAACTCTCAAAATAACGATGATATGACTCTCCGGTAGTATAGTCGAAAAGGAAGAGGTGAGCGCAAGTGACGAACTAAAAAAGCAGGCGGATACGCGTGCAGCATGAAAGTCCAACAGTCTAGCAGGCGTTTCACAGTTTTCACGCATTGTATTTGTTATTATATTGTTATAGTTTTTTAAAAAAAATTTCTGAACTATTTGAGGTTTTGTTATTTTCATAAGGACACAATACGAAAACTGCTGTTGATAATAAAACCACATTCAATTTTTCGTAGCCTGACTTTCCACCGATTTTATCTTTTTTTGTGAGGTTTCTTGAAATTCCCATAAAAATAGTGGTTAGGAGGTCGTCTACTTCAATTTTCCGTTATGGGGTTAGATAAGTATAGTCCGCCGCGCACTTCTCCAATTTAAATGCGCAACAACATACCTGAAGCCTTGGATGTGTTTTCTTTCAGTTGTTGCACATTCTTCACGACAAAAAAGAGAAAATCGGTGGAAGGTCAAGGTTACGGAAAATGTGAATGGGGTTTTATTTTTTACAGCAGTTTTAGAATTGCGTCCTTTTAAGAAATATTAAATTTTAAAACAGTTCAGAAATATGCGTAAAAAAATCTATATTAATATAGTAATAAATACAATGCGTCAAAACATTAAAACGCCCGCCAGTATGTTAGATGGTCATGCTGCACGTTTATTGGCTAATTTCTCCGCCTCGCGGATGCCCTTCTGTGCTATTTAGTTCAACCCGAGGCGAGCAGCATGTTCGCTGCCTCCCCCGAAGAGAAAACACGTCATTCCCAAGCACTCGGCAGCAGTTGTTTCCATTAGTGCCTGAATCAGCTGTTGACTCTTGAGGGCTCTGGTGAATCTTCTTTCCGTCGCATTTTTTGATTGATTAGTGGACTTTCAAAGGCATATTTTTGTCCTTGGCTGTTTTCTCTACTCCACAAGCCCTAGCTCTCAGTAAAACATCGCACGCGGTTAACGGTCACTAATGCCCGTCCTCCGTGCTAAGTCTACTCTTTTCTTCACATCCTTCTGTTTTGATAGGAATCCGGCCGAACCCGCAATGAATATATACAGTGCTTTTGCCCTCCGTCCGTCGTGTTCCTTCGAGTAAGTTTGTCACTACTTTCATTTTATTCCGTCACTCCCCGTCCCCCTTTTTTGAAACTGTTGTCGTAGCTTCCCTCATAAGTGCGCCTATAGGCTGGACAGGATGAGTGAGAGTAACGATTCCTTGTTTTTAACACTGTGCCATTTACTATACATTACTAACTACTTATTTCGTAGTAGTAAGCCTATTTTCTTATGTACGTATTCAGCATTTACCGATCCATTGCAGTCTGCACACTGAAGTCTTTATCGTCCTGTGGTTACCTTTATTTTTATTAGTTTCGTGTTTTCTTGGCAGTTACGGCCGCTGGTCGATTGTCGGCGGTCAGTTAAGTCTAGTGGGATCAGCTGCGCCAACTCCCTCGCCCCCCCCCTTTCCTATCACACTTCCGCGTGGCTCGCAC